AAGGTATAAAAGCAGTGTTTTAGTTCAAGGGAGACGCACGAAGAGCCGTCATCTGGCAGATACTAAACTAGGATTTGTGTCACACGCAAGCTGCCCGGTTTGAGTTTGAAGTTTCCTTGATGAAAGAAAAACACATTTCGGCATCGGTCTGGCGCTCTGTCATATCTTTTTATTAATGTCATTGCAATGATTATTATTAAAACTGGAGATGACATGACGGCCAGTTTTTCGTTCTCATTCACGAAGCTTCAAGCCCATGTCCGGGACAGCCTGAAGCACACGACCTAAGACGCCTTTACAATAAATGGGATTTTGTCTTGGGGGTTGTATCCTCCTCAAAGCCCTACGGTGTGCTTGAATTTTACCTAATTTATGTGTACTGCTTATCCGAGTTTTGTCGTCAGTAAACCACACGGTTACATCTCTGTCTTTACGTGTGGCAATTACTTCTTGTGTCACCATTGCCCAGTCTCACTCCACTGCGAGTTGATGATGGTCTCTATGCACAATTCACAACACATTCCTGCGGAGGGAGCTGGTAGGAACGTTGGGTTGCTCGGTCAATGGCCTGCAGGGTCAACGGCGGCGTGGTGTATTCTGCAAATATGGCCGACTGTGAGGGCGGGCACAAGCCGGCGTGAGTAGGTTAAACGTTGAGTTTTATAAGGGCACCACGGGGTAACCAGCCCCTCCCCACCAAGCCCCATCCCTCCCCCCAGTCCCACCCTCCCCACCCAGCCCGACCCAGCCCCTCCCCACCCAACCCCTCCCCACCCCACCCAGCCCCTCCCTCCCCACCCAGCCCCTTCTTGCACACCCAGCCCCTTCTTGCACACCCAGCCTCTCCCTGCACGACGGACACAATAATCCCCTGTGGGCTGGTGTAACCAGGAGGTTCCTACCAGTATAACTCCCTTCTTGCCTGTAGCCACGCGTTCCACCACTGCACTCGACATGCCCCGAGCCTTAACCCTCCATCAATGATCATACCCCCCCCTCTCCCAGTCATGCCTTAGCTAGGCCTCGGAACGTTAAATTAGCCAATCCACAGCCATCAACAACAAGCGATCATTATATAATACCCTCGGTATTAGCACCATTGTTGTAGTGCAGGGCTATTGCGAAGAGGCGCTATGTTTCACACGTGGATATAGTATGGCAGTACAGAGTGATTTTGCATTGCCTAATCCCAATTAAGTATTTTTCTCATTTTGACCATGACATTTAGGGAACAATGAACCTCCACTGCTCAGTAAACGGCGCATATTTTACTGTTAATACAGCCGCAGTAATAAGCAGGGCGGCCTGGAGCAGGTTCTAACCACGGACCTCTGCCACAAGCGGCACACGCGCTATCGCTGGGCTGGGTCACCGCCCGCACAACATTCACGGTTCGAACCATTGAGCAATACCACGGCCATAACCTTTGCTATGCACCTTTTCGCGAGTCATGATCCTAAACCATCACCTAAGCCATGCCGCCATCCATCACCCCAGCCATCATCCCCCAAACATCACCCCAAGCCATGCCCCCATCCAAGCCCCAAACCACCCCAGCCATGCCCTCAACCATGCCCCCAAACCATCACCCCCAACCATGCCCCTATCCATGCCCCCAACCATGCCCAAAACCACCCCAGCCATGCCCCCCCATGCCCCCAACCATTACCCCAAGCCATGCCCCCAACCATCACCCCAAGCCATGCCCCAAACCATGCCCCCAAATCATGCCTCATCCATGCTCCCAAACATCGCCCCAACCATGCCCCCAACCATCACCCCCAACCATGCCCCCATCCATGCCCCCAACCATCACCCCATCCATGCCCCCAACCATCACCCCAAACCATCACCCCATCCATGCCCCCAACCATCACCCCAAACCATCACCCCATCCATGCCCCCAACCATCACCCCAAACCATCACCCCATCCATGCCCCCAACCATCACCCCAAGCCATGCCCCCAACCATCACCCCCAACCATGCCCCCATCCATGCTCCCAAACATGCCCCCAACCATCACCCCAACCATCACCCCAACCATCACCCCCAACCATCACCCCAAGCCATGCCCCCAACCATCACCCCAAACCATGCCCCCATCCATGCTCCCATGCATGCCCCCAACCATCACCCCAAACCATCACCCCAACCATCACCCCAAGCCATGCCCCCAACCATCACCCCAAACCATGCCCCCATCCATGCTCCCATGCATGCCCCCAACCATCACCCCAAACCATCACCCCAACCATCACCCCAAGCCATGCCTCCATCCATGCCCCCATGCATGCCCCCAACCATGCCCCAAACCACCCCATCCATGCCCCCAAACATCACCCCAGCCGCCTCCATCCATGCCCTTAAACCATCACCCCAGCCATGCTCTTAGTCATATGCCCTCAAAGCGTATAACTCCAGTCATGCCACAAGCCGGCAGACCTCTTCCCATTCCGGCGGACGTCTTCTAATCCCGGAAGATGTCTTCTAATCCCGGAAGACGTCTTTAACCCCGGAAGACGTCTTCTAATCCAGGAAGAGGTCTTCTAATTCCGGAAGACGTATTCTAATCCCGGAAGACGTCTTCTAATCCGGAAGATGTCTTCTAATCCCGGAAGATGGTCTTCTAATCCCGGAAGCGTCTTCTAAACCCGGAAGAAGTCTTCTAATCCCGGAAGAGGTCTTCTAATTCCCGGAAGAAGTCTTCTAATTCCGGAAGACGTATTCTAATCCCGGAAGAGGTCTTCTAATTCCGGAAGACGTCTTCTAATCCCGGAAGACGTCTCTAATCCGGAGACGTCTTCTAAACCCGGAAGACGTCTTCTAATCCCGGAAGAGGTCTTCTAATTCCGGAAGAAGTCTCTAATTCCGGAGACGTCTTCTAAACCCGGAAGACGTCTTCTAATTCCGGAAGCACGTCTTCTAATCCCGGAAGAAGTATTCTAATTCCGGAAGACGTCTTCTAATTCCGGAAGACGTCTCTAATCCCGGAAGAGTCTTCTAATCCCGGAAGAGGTCTTCTAATCCCGGAAGACGTCTTCAATTCCCGGAAGACGTCTTCTAATCCCGGAAGATATCTTCTAATCCCGGAAAACCTCTTCTAATTTCGGAAGACGTCCTTCTAATCCCGGAAGAAGTCTTCCAATTCCAGAAGACGTCTTCTAATTCCGGAAGACGTCTTCTAATTCCGGAAGACGTCTTCCATGTGACAGCGTCCAAGTTTATTCGAGAAGACGCCGGGCGACAGTGCACACGCGTTCCTACGTCCTGTGCGGTATGGACTCTTGTTTCGTCGCGTTTGTCTACGTGAACGTGTCCCTGGCCCTCCCCTAGGTCGACTCGACCTATAAAACATCGCCACTCGGGAGAGACAAAGGCGGCCGGGCGTGGTGCTGGCCACCCACAACACCCGCTCGCGTGTCGGCCTTCGTAGGTGCTGCCCGCTCACAGCACTTGATTAAAGGGATGATCTTTGTTTTTTATAATCAATAATAATATGGTGTTAACCATCGTGTGTGTGCTAACTCGCGTTGCCTAAGCCGAGCTGACGCATACTCCTAAACGTTGACGGTAACAAGCCGAGCCCGATAGAATGATGGCTTTAATCTAATTCTAGATTTGAAGCTTTCGTGACTGCAAGGATTCATATTTTTGGGTTTTTCGGTAAAGTCACGTAGGTAAAAAAATCAAATAAACGTAAAATAACTTAATCTAAGTTGTCTTGTGTTTGGTTCTTTCGGTAAAGTCACGTAGAAGGGAAGTAATGAAACAAAAATAAAACATAAAATAATTCTCACGACGTTTCTTCACCTGAGGACGGCTGCTTGCGTTGTGGCCGAAACGTCGTGAGAATTATTTTATTATGTTTTATTTTTATTATTTTATTACTTCCCTTCTACGTGACTTTACCGAAAGAACCAAGAAGATGAATCCTATGCAGTCACGAAAGCTTTAAATATAATTATTTTATTATGTTTTATTTTATTACTTACCTTCTACGTGACTTTACCGAAAGAACCAAGAAGATGAATCCTATGCAGTCACGAAAGCTTTAAATCGATATAGTCTAAGTTGTCTTTTGCTTGTTGTTGTTGTTTAACTTGCATCCCCCACTGGGATTTTTGCACAGCGTTGGTGCTTTTTTCTGGAGGACTTTGCAGTTTTTTTCTTGGATTTTTCTGTTAGCGCATAGTCACTTTAAGATGTTTTCTTGTTCATGTTTTTTGTTTGTTGCGGTTGCACCCGATTCAAGAGCCGAATGGCTCACAGGGCTATACCAAATAAATGAACTTGAACCTAAGACAGGGCTGGGAAACCTTTTTTCTGCCAAGGGCCATTTGGATATTTACGACATCATTCGCGGGGCCATACAAAATTATCAACTTAAAAATGTGCCCGTTATATTTGATCAAACATTTAATTCACTCACCCCCTAATGCGATGGCTGGAACTGCTTCTCTTTGGCGAGGCGTGTGATGTTAGCTGGTATTCGCAACTGCTTTTCCAGGTTTGCTCCTAGATTTGTTGAATTTCGAGTCCCGCCTGCGGTTGCCTTGGCAGGGCCACACCAAATGAATTCACGGGCCTTATACGGCCCAATGGGCCGGACCTCTTAACACGGCCTATCCGTAAGCCCTGACTCCCTACGTCGCTTTACCCCACGGCTGACCGCTCTGTTCATCCCCCGCTCAGGAGGCCTGCCCCACGCTCAGAAGACCCCCAGGCATGTCGCAGCGGTGGGCCGTGCGTGCCGGCGACCAGGCCCTGCTCTTGTGGGCCGCGCCCGTGCAGCCCGGGGCAGTGGCGGAGGCCGTCGAGGAGCTGCGGTCAGCGGTGGGGCCTCAGGGGGCCGTGGCCGTGGAGAACGTGGACATGCTGGCCCAGTGTGAGCAAGCCGACGCACGCCAGACCGGGGGGGTGTCCTTGTGCTGCGTATATCGAGACCAGGAGAAAGATTTCCACCCCCCAACCCAAACGCCGTGTAGCCTGGAAAAGCGGGTGGGCGATGTGGAACCATCGCCGCTTGGGAGACAACATTGGAGGCTGAGTCTACCTAGGGGAGACCCAGGACTGGTTCGGTTAATAGTCACCGGTGTTTGCCGTCAGCGGGAAACCAAACTCTAGTCGCCGGGTTCGTAGCGCAGCGTGATAACCACTACACTACCAGTTTAACACGTAGGCTTTCGCGACCAACAGATCTGGCTGTCGCCTGATGAAGCAAGTTGTAATTACTTGCGAAACGTCGTACTCAGATTCTAAATGTTGTGGCTTGGCTCTCCAACACACCGGTGTGTTGTACTCGTGACGAATTGGCACATTCTGTTTACGTGACAACCCTTACTATTTACGCAATCTAACCCAAAAAACCTCTATTATCCACTACACTACCACTTCCCATACGTATATACACTCACACGCATACACACATAGTACAATATCAAGGTGCTATCATGGCCAAAGGTGTTGATGCCACTAACCCTTCAAAAAGTGTTATACCGTCAGCCTGATCTCTACTGCACAGCTCATATGCTGCATTCAAGATCTGCCCTGACAGTTTCCCGTTACCTGGCCTTGGACTCGCATAGAGATCCATAGACTCACACCGAGACCTATAGATCTTCTTCTTGGTTCTTTCGGTAAAGTCACGTAGAAGGGAAGTAATAAAATAATAAAAATAAAACATAATAAAATAATTCTCACGACGTATCGGCTACAACGCAAGCAGCCGTCTTCAGGTGACCTGAAGACGTCTGCTTGCGTTGTAGCCGAAGACGGCTGCTTGCGTTGTAGCCGAAACGTCGTGAGAATTATTTTATTGTGTTTTATTTTTATTATTTTATTACTTCCCTTCTACGTGACTTTACCGAAAGAACCAAGAAGATGAATCCCTGCAGTCACGAAAGCTTTAAATATAAATATTTAAATATGTTTTATTATTATTTTATTACTTCCCTTCTACGTGACTTTACCGAAAGAACCAAGAAGATGAATCCCTGCAGTCACGAAAGCTTTAAATCGAAACCTATAGATCTGCTCTCCCACCATCTGCTCTTAGGCCTCCTCTTACTTACCCCCTTGGGGATTGTCTGTCACGGCAATTGGCCCTCATTTTCACAAATACACTCGAACACATACCCCACCACACACAGTATCGATAATAAACCCTTAGTAGAAAGTCTTAAAGACATGCATGCATTGGCCGTTTTAAATACAACTGTACGTACCCGCAAGTGAATGTAGTACTACATGTGGGGAAAAAGACACAAGCAACTGCAGACGTACTCTTTGTTATGAGAAATGAGCTGTTCGCCGGGTGAAGTCAATGATTTGACTGCAGATCACAAGCGTCTGATTGGTGCGAAACCAACCGCTTCTGGTGGGTCGCGGCGTTTGTGTGCGCGGTGGGGGACGGAGTCGCCAAAAAGAAACGAATTAATTACGTTTCGATTTAAAGCTTTCGTGACTGCAGGGATTCATCTTCTTGGTTCTTTCGGTAAAGTCACGTAGAAGGGAAATAATAAAACTAAAAACATGATAAAATAATTCTCACGACGTTTCGGCCACAACGCAAGCAGCCGTCCTCAGGTGAAGACCAGGTCTGTCGGGGAGACAGCGTCTGAATGAAGCAACTGCAGACATACTCTTTGTTATGACCTGAGGACGGCTGCTTGCGTTGTGGCCGAAACGTCGTGAGAATTGCTTTATTATGTTTTATTTTTATTATTTTATTATTTCCCTTCTACGTGACTTTACCGAAAGAACCAAGAAGATGAATTTCCTGCAGTCACGAAAGCTTTAAATCGAAAAATTCTGTGACAGTTGCGAGCTCGTAAAGCAGAGCTGCTGACGAGCCCTGGGCTGGCGGCAGAGGTCGCAACCGGGTACCCGATACCCGTACCCTACCCGATACCCGGCTACCCGTACCCGGCCGGGTACGGGTAGCCGTTTGCGACCCTGGTGCGGCCGGGTACGGGTTAGGCCGTGAGTCACTGGTGAGTTACCGTTTGTCACTCATTTCGGGTAGGGTACGAGTACGGGTATGGAACGGGTACCTATTTGCGACCCTGGTGTGGCCGGGTACGGGTAAGGAATCAAAACCCGTTCGCGCCCTCTGGCTGGCGGTGTCTCACGAAGCTTCGTTGTCTCCCTCTTGTCCCTGCGTAGCCGTTCCCTACCCGTACCCGGCCAGGTACGGGTACCCATTTGCGACCCTGGTGCGGCCGGGTACGGGTAAGGAATCAAAACCCGTTTGCGACCTCTGGCTGGCGGTGTCTCACGAAGCTCCGTTGTCTCCCTCTTGTCCCTGCGTAGCGGGACATGAGGCGTCGCGGTTTGACGTGGCACTGGCCGGGGTGCTGCCGGGCTCTGTGCTGGTGCACGGGGAGGAGACGCTGGCGGAACTGGCCAGGGTCCTCAAGCCTGGGGGGACGCTGCAGCTGGTGCAGCCGATAGCGACGCGCGGTAACGCACGCGCTGCCACGACCACTCGGGCACCGCCATCACCGCCACCCTCACCATTAAGGCATCGTTACCGGAAATGATTTTGACGCGCAGTAACGCACGCGCTGCCAAGACCACCCACCGCAACCATCACCGCCACCCTCACCATTAAGGCACCGTTACCAGAAATTATAGCAGCGTGCGGTAACGTACGTGCTGCCACGACCACTCACGCACCACAACCACCACCGGCACACTCACTGTTAAGGCATCGTTACCAGAAATGATTTCGACGCGCGGTAACGGACACGCTTCCACGACCATCCACGCACCACCACCACCCTCAGCACCACAACGTTGCAGCCATCATCATCACCACCATCCTCGTCATCACCGGTAAGCCATCATCACGAGCAACAACAACAACCACATTACATCTTAGTTCTTTCGGTAAAGTCACGTAGAAGGGAAATAATAAAATAATAAAAATCAAACATAATAAAATTTAATTCTCACGATGTTTCAGCCACAACACAAGCACTGTCTTTCCGACAGCTCTGTTTCTTCACCTGAGGACGGCTGCTTGTGTTGTGGTCGAAACGTCGTGAGAATTTTATTTTATTATGTTTTATTTTTATTATTTTATTATTTCCCTTCTACGTGACTTTACCGAAAGAACCAAGAAGATGAATCCCTGCAGTCACGAAAGCTTTAAATCGAAATTTAACTACATTACAGTTATACAGAGCCTTTCAGGATCAAGATCCCACAAATCACTTCGCAGTCTAATATGAATAATGTTATTAATTAGAAATAACAGTAAGTTACATAAATACATCAATCAAGAGAATCAAATAAGATAGATAAAAAGCTCCCCTTTCACCGACCCGTGCCGACATGCGTGGTGAAGTATGGCCAAACAATTCCTGTGACCGACACAGCTGGAGGAGGCCTTCTTCCAGCGCGAGAGTTGACATATTGTTGTAAAATTTCGATTTAAAACTTTTGTGACTGTAGGGATTCATCTTCTTGGTTCTTTCGGTAAAGTCCCGTAGAAGGGAAGTAATAAAATAATAAAAATAAAACATAATAAAATATATTGTTGTAAGCTACGCTGAGCGTCGCTCACTGTGTGGCCTGCACGGCCTTCCCCTCCATCCACAGATGGCGTGGCAGCCGTGCGGACTGCCACTCGGCTGGCCTCTGCTCTAAAGCTCGCGGGACTTGTGGACGTATCGGAGGTCAGTGCTTTCACTCCTCGCAGAGTCTCGGCTGACCATTCCCCATCTAAGACGTCCACTCACGGGGCCCGCGTCTCGCTGGGCGTGCGTCTCTTGCCCAGGTCGCCTCCGAGCCGCTGTCCGCCGAGGACGTGAAGGCGGCGATGGAGCTGCTGACCCCTGACCTCTCGGGGTCGCTGCTGCGGGGCCGTGTGACGGCGCGCAAGCCGCAGTTCGAGGTCGGTTCGAGTACTCAGCTCATGCTGGGCGCAGGAAAGCGCTCTGGTACGAACCCCGCGCCCATCGGTGAGACCTACACATTCATTCTTTGGTTCTTTCGGTAAAGTGACGTATAAAGATAAAATAATAAATTAAATTAAATACTAGCATACGACGTTTCGATTGCAACACAAGCAATCGTCATCAGGTATAAATTAAATAGAAACACAAATCTAGTATATTTCTATTTAAATTTCGATTTAAAGCTTTCGTGACTGCAGGGATTCATCTTCTTGGTTCTTTCGGTAAAGTCACGTAGAAGGGAAGTAATAAAATAATAAAAATAAAACATAATAAAATAATTCTCACGACGTTTCGGCCACAACGCAAGCAGCCGTCCTCAGGTGAAGAACAGGTCCGTCAAGTAGACAGAGTCTGAATGGCACGCTCCAGGCTTGGAGCGACTATTTATGCTGGTTTGGAGGAGCGAAGAGCGTCTTGACAAAATAATTTGCATATCAAGAGGAATTTAGCATATTTATGGGAAATGCAGATATGCGATTAGCACTACTTGTGAAATGCGTAGGAGGTTTGGCGAGGGGTTTAAAGTCATTATGCCCGTGCATTATTCAGGATTAGCAGCATTAGCAGCATCAAAGGGAGGGAGTAAGGTCAGAATTAATAAATCTAGTATACTTAGAAATGTAATGTAATACAACAGAGAGTCGGATAACATAAGTCAACACCCTCTCTGTTGTATTACATTTCTAAGTATACTAGATTTGTGTTTCTATTTAATTTATACCTGATGATGATTGCTTGTGTTGCAATCGAAACGTCGTATGCTAGTATTTAATTTAATTTATTATTTTATCTTTATACGTGACTTTACCGAAAGAACCAAAGAATAATTCCTGCAGTCACGAAAGCTCCAAATTAAGACCTACACATCCCAGGCTGGGGCCTCCTCAGTCGTATTTCTCCCACAGCGAGCCATATGACAAAGCGAGCGCATGCTGGCGGGCCACGTGATGTCGTAGTGTCGCGTGTAGAAACTTCATGACATCACGCGGAGTCGTAATGTCCGTGTATTAGTGACCACTAATCTGCATCTCTTGGGCTTCTTGGATTGATCTTTTCTCACTTTCATGTCCCAAACCTGAATGTCTTTGCAGCTTTCTCATCTCTTAGCTCTCGTTTTTTTTCATCACACGGTAATGCACCCCTTAATGTTTTTACTCGCATTGCTCAAATGGGATTATATATAGCATTCAACGCCCACTCACTGCAAAAACCTGGCAGGACGCTTTGTTGGGTAAACAAGTGAAATAATCATAATAATAACTGGGTCACGTGATTTTGTGAGTATGTGTGTTTTTGTGTGTGTGTGTGTCCATGTGTGTGACATGTCCGTGTGTGTGTGGTCTGTTGCCTGCTGTGAAGACAAGCCAAGCAAGGTCGACCCCAAGGCAGCAGCTGTGTGGGCCCTCTCTGCAAACGACATGGGCGACGATGAAATTGTAAGGCAGATACTGACGCGTAAATAGCGACTAAGATCCCCTGTGCACTGGCGTGAAGAATATTAACATAACACAATAAGTTGTACTCTTAGGTTATTTCGGTAAAGTCACGTAGGTAAAAAAATTTAATTAATAAAAGTAAAATAAACTAATTAAAAAATTCACGACGTTTCGGAAGCAACACAAGCCTCCGTCTTCAGGTGGAACCGTCACAGCCACGACAGCTGTATCAAGTGAATGAGAGATCACAAGAAATACTACCCCCCTCAACCATTATATATACGGGGTAGTATTTCTTGTGATCTCTCATTTACTTGATACAGCTGTCGTGGCTGTGACGGTTCCACCTGAAGACGGAGACTTGTGTTGCTTCCGAAACATCGTGAATTTTTTAATTTGTTTTATTTTACTTTTATTAATTTAAAATTTTTACCTACGTGACTTTACCGAAAAAACCTAAGAGTATGAATCCTTGCAGTCACGAAAGCTTCAAATCTAAAAACAATAAGTTATGTTAATCCTCTTCCTCGTGTGGCTGATGTTCATTGACAGCAACGGCCATAATTTGACATTGAGGAAGTTAATGAGTCAGATGATTACTTCAGGAGTAGCGGAAGTGGTCCATTGGTGTGATGGAGCCTCCGTCATAGTTGTGAATTTGGCATGAAGTCATTATATATTTTATGGTTCTGGGTGGTGACCATGGTCTCCGCACACTGACAGTAGATATTTGTATTTACTGTTTGTGCATCATCGTCGAGTATTTGCTGATACCATGGTTTGTGTACGGATGCGGTTCAGGCTTTTGTGGCCCCATGACCATCATGCAATTTCGAAGCCAGGGATCTTCCTCGTCAATTTTTTCACGTGGAGGCGTTTTCTAACTTTGTGACTTCCATTTGGCTTTACGAGCTTCATGTGAAGTGTCGAAGTCATGCTGGCAGGAGGTCACGGAGCAGACCCAGGTTTTATGGGTTAAAATGATTGGCAGGACACCACCTGTATGTACGCAAGTACGTTGAACTTCTTTCGCACCATACATAGCCAACCATGCTAATCGCAGGTGCGGGGGAAGGACAAAAAACCAAACACGAAAATAAGTTATAACCACCAGCCTCCTTCACAAGCCTCATCCAACACACTGTTCAGATTTACACCACTTACGTTGGCCATGCTTCTGTGTGTCCCGCACACAAGACAAATACAAAGATCCCCCCCATAGCCTTAACATACTCTTGGGGCAAGTGCTGTTAGCGAGCACCTATGAAGGCCGACACGGCACACGAGGGGGTGGGTGGCCAGCACCACATCTGGCCGCCTTTGTCTCCCCAGTGCTGATGTTTATACATCACACCAGATACTCATTAGATGCTGAGTCGACCTAGGAGGGGGGCCAGGACCGGTTAAGATAATCCTCACTAGAGTTGGCTGTGAGCAGGACTCGAACTCGGGATGCCGGGTTCGTAGCGCAGCGCGCTAACCACTGGGCCACCGCTCCTCACACGCACAGGCCACTCGCTGTTACACACGCGTGTTTGTCCCGTGCACTTCGCTGCGTCCTCATTACTCCGTGCGTCGCGCTCACAGGAGCTCATCGACTCAGATCAGCTGCTGGAGGAGGAGGATCTGAGGCGGCCGGATCCCTCGGAGCTCAAGGCGCCGAGCTGCGGGCCCGGCAAGAAGCGAGCCTGCAAGAACTGGTGACGCAAGCACGCGCGGGGAGGGTGAAGGGATGCACATTACATGGCTAATAAGCTGCAGTCTTATGAACAGAAGTACGTGTCTGCAGCCTTTTTGTCAACCCACTGCCGTGTGAATTGTTCCTGGCAATCTTCACCGGCAACACAAACAGCTCTGGGCAACTGTCGCAACTGGGTATGGCGATGGCAGAGGGCAATGGAGTTGTGTGGTGCAACGAATGTGACAATCGGCTGCGATCTGAGTAGAAGTTCCTATCCCATTCGCCCACTAGGGAGAGCAGCGATCAGATTTGTCCACACTCGGGCGGCTATATTTTTACGATGGGGAAGATCTTCTTGGTTTTTTCGGTAAAGTCACGTAGAATGGAAATAATAAAATAATAAAAATAAAACATAATAAAATAATATGCAAATTACTTTGTCAAGGCGCTCTTCCCCCTTCCATCCCAGTTTAAATAGACGCTCCAAGCCTGGGGTTTGTCATTCAGACTCTGTCTTCTCGACAGACCTGTTCTCCACCTGAGGACGGCTGCTTGCGTTGTGGCCGAAACGTCGTGAGAATTATTTTATTATGTTTTATTTGTATTATTTTATTATTTCCATTCTACGTGACTTTACCGAAAGAACCAAGAAGAGGAATCCCTGCAGTCACGAAAGCTTTAAATCGAAATTTAATGGGGAAGATGTTGCGGCAACTGTTGCCAGTGATGATTGCCGGCTGAAGATTCAATTGCCCCCCCCCCCCCCCCCGTGTACCGTGGAACTTAGTTAATCCAATGCCGACTGATCAATCCAAGCACGTTTTTTTTATTTTACCAGGTAAAGCCCACAGAGCTATTTGCTCTATTTCAGAAACGACCTGGCCACAAATGATAGCTCAACGAAGTGCCTTATCAAGTGGAAATGTATAGCAGCCATATACTCTAAAGCGCATGTTTCTAAATGTGGAGGGAAAAACCCGAGTACCCGGATAAAATCCACGTGACCAGGCGGAGAACACGCAAACTCCAAATATACAGGAGTCCGGCTTGGGATGAAACCCACGACCTCCTGCACACCAGGCGAGGGAGATAACATGTAGACTAGCGAGGAGGCTGTCGACCGTCGAATAAGTTTCGCCAAAGCTGTCGCGCACAATCTTGCCTTCCCGCGCATGTCACACCGTGAGCGTTCGCGCAAAGTCTTCGTGTCATTCTCGAATGTGACCACAAGCGCTGGCGCCGCTGTCTGCGTCCCCCCCCGTCCCCCGCAACCGACAGCTCGTGTGGCCTGGCTGAGGAGTTGGAGCAGGAGGCGACCAAACAGAAGCCGGCGCTGCCCAAGTCGTCCTGTGGCAGCGTACGTGAGCACCAACTGCTGGCATTTCCACACACGCGATGTGGCGCAATCACGTCTCGCACACACGCTGCGTTGCGCAGCCACGTCACACACACACACACTGCATCGCACGGTCACGTCACACACACACACTGCATCGCACAGTCACGTCACACACACACACACTGCATCGCACGGTCACGTCTCACACACACGCTGCGTTGCGCAGCCACGTCACACACACACACACACTGCATCGCACGGTCACGTCACGCATACACAGTGTCGTGCAGTCACATCACACAGCATTGAGCAGTCACGTCGCACACACACACTGCATCGTGCAGTCACGTCAGTCAAGTTACACATACAGTGTCGCGCAGTCACGTCACACAGCATAGTGCAATCACGTCACACACATTGTCGCGCGCTGGCAGCAGACACACACAACATCGCATGGGAATATCATGTTTGTGACCCAGGTTAAATCCTGGTCGCATTGTACTGTGACAGCGCACACGTACACACCGTCTTGTACGTTCACGTTACACACCCACGTACGCGCACCCACATACACACAGTTGCATCGCGACACCGAATTGCGACAAGCGGTTGAGTTGTGAGGGGGCGAATTGTCTCAATAATTTCCACCTCCCCCCCCCCCCCCCCTACGTGGGTGTGCAGTGCTACCTGGGCGATGCCTTCAGGTGTGCAGGCTGCCCCTACCTGGGCATGCCGCCCTTCAAGCCCGGAGAGAAGGTGTCACTCTCCACTCGCCAGCTCACACCGGACGTCTGACCCGTCTCCCAGGCTCGGTCACCAACCACTACATCTACCTTGCGACTGACTGCCTCACCCTCTCTCCGTCAAAGAAATATGTCAGCTGATTTGCTGCAGCGTCTTGAGAGCGTGGTTGATATTTAAACGCGATGAAATTCCAAATCGAATTTCATCAAGTCACAAAGAGATCCGTAGACTCACACAGAGACTCATAGAATTACGTAGAGGCTTGCATAGAGACCTATAGGCTCTTTGTCCCTAGTCAAGTCTGGGTTGAGCATTTTTTTTTCTCTCGCTGCGGACATCTTTAGGAGTTGCATTGGCTACTCAAAACTTCTCTCTTCTAAACTAAACTATTTTTATGTTACCAGAGTATTTGGCTGCGATACATTTCCACATGATAGGCCGCTTTGTTGAGCTATCATTTGTGGCTTCTGATAAAAAGCTATAAGGCTCAGTGGGCCTCACCTGGTAAAATAAAACAGTTTAGGTAAGCCCACTGAGCGATACAGCTCTTATTACAGGTAGGAACAACAGTTCCACACTGCCCACCAGGGATTATTTGTCTGTCGTGCATAGCCACGCCCTCGATTTGTATTTCATAGAGCGCTTCGGGTGGGCTCAGCACCACGTGACGCGCCGCCCCACTTAGCTTGCGCCGCGTGACACGGATCGCACGAATGCGCTGTCCAACCAAGTTCCTACCTGCCCACTCCGAAGGAACGTGTTTTAGACATGACCCAGCCACAAATTATAGCTTAACGAAGTTACTTATCACGTCCAAGTTTATCACAGCCAAACGCTGAATATGACCAACTCTTATCACATGTTCACCGATTTCGTCCAGCGTCTCGAAATGTGATCACGTTTGGACGCGAATATAATTGCACATTGTGTTGTTAGTGGACCCAGCCGTGTTTCCTACCCCAGCTCCCGGCTATGCACCGGAGTTCCCCAAATGCCGGTCCCCACGCAAACGCCTTGGAAAATATTTTCGAGTTCACCAGATCGGCGAATATTTCGAATGCAAGTTATTTCGTTACAAGGCCCGACGCTCGCTACATACTTTGCACGTGATGTAAAAAGTGCCGAATCAAATAAAATAGAAATCTTGAATGCGTGTGTTTGTGCATGTTTGTGGCTCATACGGGTGAGTGGTGAATTCTAGATTTGAAGTTTTCGTAACCGCAATGATCCTTACTCTTTGATTCTTTCGGTAAAGTCACGCAAGTGAAAACAATAAAATAAAAAATGAAAAAACTAAGTTAAATCACGACGTTTCGGGCGCAACACAAGCGTCCTTCATCAGGTGGAGACCACAGCGAAACCAATCTCTGAAGTATGCCAAAGAGATGGCTGTAACAAGGGATTACCCTATATAGCTGAGGGGGGCGGGCAGGGTGAGTGTGGGGCCAGGGAGAGCGGAAAGGATGTTCCTAGAGTTCGAACTAAAGCTGTGCTAGTACGTTGGCTGGGGGGGGGGGGGGGGGGGGCGGCAAATCTGCACGATCGAAACACTGCACGTCAAATTTCCGATTTATGGTAGTGTGCAAGGCTGGAGATGTGGGTATGAATATAAACTATAAGGCAGCTAAGGTTTAACTTGGTGGCGCAGTGACTGGTGTACTTGGCCACAAACCTGGCCCCCTGAGTTCGATTCCTGCTCAGGCCTAACGGCGGTGACGAATCTCTGAACTGGTCCTGGGCCTTCCCTAGATCGACTTGACCTTAAATGAGTAGCTGGTGAGACAAAGGCGGCCGGATACCGAGGTGGACCAACTTTGGTTGCCTCGTACCAACCCTCGCCTGTGTTAACTGAGGTGATGTAAGGTGGTTGCGAGTATAGTTCAGGTTAAGTTTGTGCGGAAGAGATGTGCGAAGGGGATGAAATGACAAACATAGAATTATGTTATATTCTTGGTTCTTTTGGTAAAGTCACGTGTTTATGTGAGGATTGCTTGTGTTGCAATCGAAACGTGAGAATTTTATTTATATTTTTTATTTTATTGATTTCCTTCTACGTGACTTTACCGAAAGAACCAAGAATATGAATCCCTGCAGTCACGAAAGCTTTAAATCAAAATAGAATTATGTTATTACGCTTTGCTACCCCAAAAAAATCTCCACGGAGTCGCGTTACGTTATTTCAGGATGATCCTGCCAAGTTTGTTTTTTGCAGTCGGGGGCGATGATTGCTATGAGTTGAATTCCCGTGCCCAATTATCGCCCCAATAGGATTCGAGAAGGGCTCTCAAGAGATGGTTCGGCTCTAAGGGACGTTGGAAATTCCTGGTTGTCTCATTTAACCCGCTGTCTGTAGCCGCTGTCAGCTCGCCTGTGATGAATTACACGTACAATCGTGCACTCCGCTAATAGATTCAGGTAGCGAGAAATGTTTTTTAAAATCATTATTTTAATAGAAGGCAATGACATACCTGTCAACCCATATGGGAGGGGGGGGGGGGTCAGACATTTGTGACGATGTGTGACGAGGGGGGGGGGTGAGAAATGTGACGTCACATCAAAATGCGCAACTTTAAATAAATATGGACAACACGTTCTACTTATCTTCTTGGTTCTTTCGGTAAAGTCACGTAGAATGGAAGTAATAAAAGGAAAAAAATGTATGCGAAATTAGTATTATTTAATTATTTCCCTTCTACGTGACTTTACCGAAAGAACTAAGAGTATTTACCGAAAGAACCAAGAAGATGAATCCCTGCAGTCACGAAAGCTTTAAAACGTTCTACTTAATTAAATCGACCTTTTAATAAATGTTTTCTCCTACAACATCAGAGTGCAGCGCCACATTAAATACGCACTACAATGACGATAGTTTAAAGAGATTTGAAGCATGTTTTATTTTTGGGGGGGGGGGCAGAGCTTTGTGACGTCATATTTGAGGGGGGGGGTCTGACTTATTGTGACGCCGTGTGACGAAGGCGGGGGGTCAAAAATCGTCCAAAAGCGCGTGACGTCATTTATGGACGGCCCCTTACCCCGTATTCTTGTACAGGGAAATTGACTTTTCAGGTCCATATGGCGCACAGCCGTTTCAAGACGGGCTAAAAAGTTGTCTATTTGTGTTTCTCCCTTGTGATGGGACTTTGCAGGATGAACGTTGAGATGTATAAGGGGCGCCGGGTGACCAATAAGGTCATGCATTTGTCTGTAAACACATTGTCCTGCGGAGGGAGCTGGTAGGAGCGTTGGGTTGCTCGGTCAATGGCCTGCAGGGTCAACGGCGGCGTGGTGTATTCCGCAAATATGCCCGACTGTGAGGGCGGGCACAAGCCGGCGTGAGTAGGTTAAACGTTGAGTTTTATAAGGGCACCACCGGGTGACCAGCCCCTCCCCACCCAGCCCCATCCTCCCCACCCAGCCCCTCCCCACCCAGCCCCCCCCCCCACCCAGCCCCTCCCCACCCAGCCCCACCCCCCACCCAGCCCCTCCCCACCCAGCCCCTCCCCACCCAGCCCCTCCCCCCCCCACCCAGCCCCTCCCCACCCAGCCCCACCCCCCACCCAGCCCCATCCTCCCCACCCAGCCCCTCCCTGCACGACGGACGGATACAATAATCCCCTGTGGGCTGGTGGAACCAGTGGGTTCCTACCACTGATAAGGAGTTGACAGCTAAGAATAAAGTCGTGAGAATTGTCTTTTATTATGTTTTATTTTAAATTTTATTATTTTATTATGTCCCTTCTACGTGACTTTACCGAAAGAACCAATAATAAGAAAAAGTTTAGCTGTTTCGCAACCACCTCGCCCCACGTGGTGCTCAGCTGTTGTTGAGTCTACCACTTCTCCGGAGGACGAAACACAAACGCAGTCTCTCTTATTGCTCGGTTTAACGCGTAGGCTTTCGCGACCAATATCCATAATAGTTTTTTTTGGCGGGGGGGGGGGGGGGTTAGATCGCGTAAGGGGCCGTCCATAAATGACGTCACGCGATTTTTAACGATTTTTGCGTCGGACCCCCCCTCAAATATGACGTCACAAAGCTCTGCCCCCCCTCCCTAGGTGCGTGACGTCATTTATGGACGGCCCCTTACTCGTCTTCGAAATAATTTTTTGTTGTCTATTGATCCAGCCCTGTCTACCTCTACCCCCTCGCAAGGATTCGCGATGAGAGACAGACTTTTGACTTTTTAAACAACTTTTATATTTCCGCCAGCAGCAACAGCACTGGAGGCGATTCCGATATGAAATACACAAAGTCACCAGCAACACAAATGAAAACGAACGCTACAAATCCACGCGCTGTGGCGCTAAATGCACCGCGCACAACACGAAAGAAAAGCCACGTGGTGGTGGTGATGGTTATGGTGGTCATCGCGCACGCCACGGTGACGAGCGAGCGCTTCAGAAGGTGAACACGAGGGTGCCGTCCACGCTGGTACAGAGAGGGGCTTGTCCGGCTCCGTTCGAAGAAGACGTGCACATGATAGAGAGCGAACAGGGCGAACCGGCGACGCGTCCGAGTTTACTGAACAAACCGAACGTATATGGGACTATCGTTTTTAATGGCAAAAGAACAGATACGAAACTAACATGAAAGCAAATGTATGTTAAGAGCTTCAAAAAGTCAAAAGTCTCCATTTGTTCGCCATCGTTGTCAACACACGCCTGGAATCTTCTCCAGGTGGTCTCCAGAGCCCGGAGGCACGTTTATTGTGGTTATTGTTTGCAAATTTTCAGAAGTGTTAACATTTTTTTTGAAGCACCCTGCATACACACACACAGCGTTGCAGTACACGAGGGCGTCCGCCATCTTGCTCAGGGAGAGGCCTCCATGGTTGCTATGGTAACGCGAAGTTTCCCCCTGAGCAAGATGGCCGTCAGTGCACACCGCGTGCTCGTTGTTGTCCCGTGTGGGGGGGAGGGGGGGCGGCGACGGGCATGCCGAACGCGTGTAGCAAATGTAATCGCGCGTCATCACCTGACTCACCCACAAAGACAAAGATCTCCCAGGTAGCCTTAGCAAATTGGGGGGGGGCAAGTGCCGTGAGGGAACAGCACCTATGAAGGCCGGCAACCACGCCCCCGGCCGCCTTTGTCTCCCCAGTGGCGACGTTTACACATCGCAACGGGTTACTTATTTGAGGCCGAGTCGACCTAGGGGAAGGGCCCTAGAACCGGTTCAGACGATCGTCACCGGGTGTTGGCTGTGAGCGGGAATCGAACCCGGTTTGGGCATAGCGCTAACCACAGCACCACCGCTCCCCCAACAACAACCGCCATTCGCCACGAAGTGGCGGTGACGTCACCACGACGCTTGTGCCAGGCCATGTGCACCTTGAGGCCACGTGAAGTGTCGAACGCCCGCTGGCAGGAGGTCACGGGGCAGACCCAGCAGGTGCCACGGGTCAACTGACTGAGATGACCGAGATGACTGGCTGATGCACCACCTGTGCCCCCTACTGTGCCAACTAGCTGTGCTTTAGCCACCCGGCGCTCCGCTCGTTGTTGAGCGTCGCTCCTCTGCCCTCCGTTGTTGCTGGAGGGCGACTGCCTCCAACTGCCCAGTAGCGTCCTTCACGAGCCTCCTCCACTGAGGCCGATCTTGACACCGCTGGTACCAATCATCGGCAAGTCCACTCAGCCCCACATCCTCCTGTACCACATCACTCCATCTCTTCTCTAGCCCGTGCCGTGCCCGTTTAGCCCCCTCGATCCGGCCGAACAAAAGCTGTGTAGGCATGCGGTGGCTGGGCATGCGGGCTACATGATCCAGCCAACGCAGCCTTGCCTGCCGTAGGAGCTCACCGATGGAACTTTGTCCAGATCTTTCAAGGATTTGTGAACTCCTCACACAATTCAGCCTGGTTAAACCCAGGATGGATCGTAGGCAGGCCAGCCTAAATGTTTCTAACCGGCGAAGATGTTCCATTAGGGGGGTCCACGTTTCGCAAGCGTAGGAAAGGGAGGGAATGACTGTGGCCGAGAAGACCTGGAGCTTCGTGCAGAGTGACAGACCAGGCAGCTTCTACAAAGCGTTATGCAACCGATGAAAAGATATTGCCGCTCGACTGATTCGGAGTGAGACCTCTGCTGTCAAGCCGGAGCCGGTCATGAGCACACTGCCCAGGTATGGGAAACTCTCCACTCTCTCCACTACTGCCCCATCATCGATTGGGAGTTGTGGGGGTGGAATGTCCGATGGTACAAAATACCCAGGTAGGTGCTTAGTTTTGGTGGGGCTGATGGTAAGGCCCCACCTCTTAGTGGCATGCTCCAGTCTCAGCAGCAGCGTCTCCAACTCCTCCTCTGAGTGAGCAGCTATTACCAAATCATCGGCATACATAACGTGGTTGACCAATAGGGAGCCATCCCTTGATCGCACCCGGGCATCGATCAGCCTGCCATTATATCTGTACCAAATGGAAATTCTTCCGGTACAGCTATTGAAGGCTTCACGAACTACGCGGTCAAAATAGATGTTAAATAATGTGGGAGCCAGAGGACATCCCTGTCGCACCCCAAGGTGTACAGGGAATGGCTCTGACTCCCGGCCACGTAGTTTTACCCGGGCCCGCTCACCATCTTGAAGGTCCTTAATGATCGTGAGCAGAGGGTCGGGGACTCCGAAAGCATGAAGAACAACCCAGAGCCCAGGCCTACTGATGGTATCACAGGCCTTGACCAGGTCAATAAAGCAGAAATGTAGGTCTTGTTGGAATTCCCTACACCTCTGCTGTAGCAGACGGACGCTCCAACACACACACACATACTCTTAGGTTTTGTCGGTAAAATCACGTAGGTAAGAATAATAATTATAAAATAATAATAAATGAAAAGAACAAAATTGTGATTTAATTTAGTTATTTTCATTTATTCTTTTTTTATTGTGATTTAATTTAGTTATTTTCATTTATTTTTATTTTATTGTGATTTAATTTAGTTATTTTCATTTATTATTATTTTATTGTGATTTAATTTATTAATTTGCATGTATTCTTATTTTACTATTATTTTTACCTACGTGACTTTACCGAAAAAACCTAAGCGTATGAATCCTTGCAGTCACAAAAGCTTCAAATCTACACACACACAGACAGACATCCACCAACCACCACCCCCACCACCTCGCGTGCCTATCCGTACTAGCAAATAAAATGATATGAGAGCGCCGCGCATGCGCAGTGAGCGCGGCGTGAATGCGGGGCGGCATGGCGGACGGGCCGGGGGTTTCGGGCACGCCGAGCCGACACGAGAAGAGCCTGGGGCTCCTCACCGCCAAGTTCGTGTCGCTGCTGCAGGAGGCCAAGGACGGCGTGCTCGACCTGAAAGTGGTGCGTGTCGCTCGCCCGTCACCTGGGCCCCCTGTCACTCGCTCGCAGGCGTAGCGCGGCGCGAACTCGGGCAGTGTTGTTTGGGAAGGCCCGCGGAGCCTACGGTCTTTCCTAGATTCCCCGCGGGGGGACGAGGCGAGCCGTGCAGCCTGGCCGGATCCCACAGAGGGGGTCGGGGGGGGGGCGCGATGGAGCTGAAGCTGATGGAACTTAATCGCTCTGACGAGACCCGTTGTCACCGTTGTCAGAGACCCCTTTGACGGGACCCTCTTTACGATAGACCCCGTGAACGAATGATCAGGGGAAGCCCCCAACAGGAGGAGCCTTTATCCGCATCTCATAACGAGGGCAGCTGAATCAACGACAGGCTTCTGTCAATGGGAGGCTACTGATAAGACCCCTTTACAGAGGATGCGGCCTGGGGGGGGTGGGGGTATAATCCCTTGTACGGGGTCCTCTTGAGCAATATCTTGTCGGCGAGAACGCATTTGAACCCGCAGATAAGACTTCGTGTCTGTGAGCCCCTGGCTTGCTGTTGAGTTCGTGAGTCGCCATGGCAATGAGCTCTCCCCACCCCTCCTCCTCCCCATTGCTCCATCATCGCACTTTGGATTTGTCGATTAAATAAAGGAATTGGCAACGGTGGTGACTCCTCCTGATGCACACAACCTTTTGTGTTCTTGTAATCGCTAGGCCAAGATTGTCCGAGGAACAGAGAGGACGTTCGTTTTGGGGTTTGGGTTGACTTGTTAAGAGACGTCGTCGTTGCACGTTTTGTGTGGGGTTCAGGGCTTGGGAACATTGTTGAGGTTTTCAGGGGTTTGGCACAAGGGTACGTACTTTTGTTTTCATCTTGGCTACAGAAGTCCATTACGATGATGTATGAAGCCAGCTCACCGGTGTTATTCATTCCCACATTATACACCTTGTAGATTTGATAGTGTATACATATGCAGCAGTACAATTAAATGTAAATAACATATATGCAAGTTTTTCGAGACGCAGTGCAGAAAGAGTGCTCATTTATGGGGTTTTTTTAAAAGAAAGACAGTCCAAGGCAGATGTGATCGAGAGCAGGGAGTTTTGACAGCACTGACCACTTAGGGATGGGAATTCCATAGAATAGTGCAGCAGTATAAATTTCGATTTAAAGCTTTCGTGACTGCAGGGATTCATCTTCTTGGTTCTTTCGGTAAAGTCACGTAGAAGGGAAGTAATAAAATAATAAAAATAAAACATAATAAAATAATTCTCACGACGTTTCGGCCACAACGCAAGTAGCCGTCCTCAGGTGAAACCAAGCACGTGTGCTGTTTCATTCAGACGCTGTCGCCTCGACAGACCTGGTTTCACCTGAGGACGGCTACTTGCGTTGTGGCCGAAACGTCGTGAGAATTATTTTATTATATTTTATTTGTATTATTTTATCACTTCCCTTCTACGTGACTTTACCGAAAGAACCAAGAAGATGAGTGCAGCAGTAGAGAATGAGTGATCTCCCACTGAGCGAAGGTTGACTGTGGGGGCTTCAGTATAGGGCCTTTGTTATTAGACCGGAGAGTTTAGGGGAGTAGAGAGCTAAGAGAGATAAAAGGTAGGAGATCGCGTGTAGTTTACCAGATACAGGAAGGAGTTCTTAGGGTTTGATCCCCACCCGGACGCCTGTATATTTGGAATTTGCGTGTCTCTCCCCAGTGATTGCGTGGATTTTTCTCCAGGCCCTCTGGTTTTCCCCTCCACATTTAGAATTGACATGCGTTTTGGGCTGCTACATATTATTTCCACGTGATAAGCCACTTCGTTGAGCTATTATTTTCGGGCCAGTTTGCGTCTGAAAAATGAGCTATACAGTATAGCTCAGTGAGCCTTAGCTGGTAGAATAAAACAAGGTAGGGCAGTATATTGAGATGATGAGAAAGACATAGGCGAGTAGGTGCAGGTACTGGAGTGAGTTTTGACAGGGGAGAGATGGGGGCAAGTCAATGGATAGTCTCTGTAGTCTTCAACTGTTGCAGCCCATTGAGATTTGTCGCGATGTGGCCACACTCGTGTCGCGCTACATGTGTTCGGTCTTCCAAGTGCCACCGCTATGTCCTGAGCTGCATGTTGAAAGTGGTGTGAGCGTGATAAGGCGTACGGAAACCGCGGCCAGTGTCGTTGCTTGCTGATGCTTGTTATGTAGCGCCTGTAAATGACCGAGTCTGTTTGCCAACAGCAAGCGCCGCTGGGCTGGGTGGCAGAGTGCCAGAGAGGAAAAGGTCATGCAGGGAGGTTTTTTTCACCATCGTAATCGAGGAATTGGGAGTGGAGCGGTGGTGGCGTAGTGCTTACCGCACGACACTGAACCCGGTGACCTGCGTTCGATTGTGATCCACGGCTAACATTAGGGGCGAGCCATATCAGAACCAGTCCGGTCCCCATTTTCCAACCCGCACTGACTAGTGTGGTGATGTATGGTAAAACGATTCTCATGACTAACACGGCGTGGCGAGAGGCCTTGATCTCGCGTTGGATTGACAAAGGGTTCGTACCACACGTTATACATTTTAATTGAAGATACTCACTCATGGCCAGATTGTGGTAGCGCTCATTTCTTTCAGATATCAGCACATGGAAGACAACAGAACTGGTATGCCATCCTATAATTTCCCCTCCGGCCTAAATAGGCGCTTACTAACAGCATATATATTCGTGCGGTGTAAAGGGTTAAGTGGACGATGTGTGTGTGTGTGTGTGGGGAGTCCAGGCTGCAGACACGTTGGCTGTGCGGCAGAAGAGACGGATATACGACATTACCAATGTGCTGGAGGGAATCGGCCTCATTGAGAAGAAGTCCAAAAACAGCATCCAGTGGAAGTAAGTAAGGTCCTCTCCTCCGTCATCGGCATCTCATGGTCTTTCAGTGTTAACAATCCTGCTAGCTCCTGCACACAAGCTGACTCGTTGCTCCATTATTTCTGTCATGGATTCTCACCCTTGGCAAGCAATTGTGTCAAATATGTAAATAGGGTATGGGCCTTGCCTAGCTTGACGAGGCCTTAAATCTTAACGGAGTACCTGGTGCATTGCGTAAACAGCAGCACTGGGGAGACAAATGAAGCAGGGCCTGGTGCTGGGCGCATCACCCTCTCACGCACTGTGTTGGCCTTGATACCTACGACATTATGATTGCACGTGACTTCACCGAAAGAACCAAGAAGATGAATCCCTGCAGTCACGAAAGCTTTAAATATAATTATTTTATTAAGTTTTATTTTTGTTATTTTATTATTTCCCTTCTACGTGACTTTACCGAAAGAACCAAGAAGATGAATCCCTGCAGTCACGAAAGCTTTAAATCGAAAAATTATGATTGTACTAATAATAACAGGTGCTTGCTAGTTGCACATTCCTTAACAGTCTATATAGGCTACATCGGGTATCTTTTTAAATCCTTTATATTAAGTTCGCTTGCTTGCTTGCTTAGGACCGTGCAAATCTTTAGGTCGTTTTTTAACCCACTTCCCGTGATCCAATCGAGCTGACATTTTGCACACAGACTCGTTGTGCGTGACAATGCATTTTCGTGAAAACAATTTTCAGAATTTTTACACTGTTTAGGGAAATTTTTTAAAATATTTAATTACCAATTGTTTAATGCTGCCAGAGGACGAGAGGACTCTAGCCGCCCCGATGCCACGCGTATAAAGCATTTATATTGAAAAACTTTGTTTTTACGGGTTTACTTGTTCTCTGCTTGCGACGTGCCAGGGGACTGGGTCCAGGCTGCAACACGCGCGAGGTGTCGGAGCGCCTCGTGTGCCTCAAGGCCGAGATGCTGGAGCTGGAACGCCGCGAGCAGGAACTGGAGACGCAGCGGTCGTGGGTCCAGCAGAGCATCCGCAACGTCACCGAGGATGCCGGCAACGCCGCATATCCTCCCAGCCCCGCTCGCACCTACAGCCACGCCCCGCCTGGAAGCACGTGTCCAAACTTTGTCATTTTGGCGGACGAGCCAAGTGTGTCTCCGTTGGTCAATATTTAGAAGGTGCATCGGCATGGGGGATGTTGACGTCTGCAAAACATCCGTCAGATATTTTGTGTTTCACTTTAGTTTGTCTTAATATTTTTTTTTTTATTAGATAACTAAACTATTTCTTATTTTACCAGGTAAGGCCCACTGAGTTATATAGCTGTTTTTCAGAAGCGACCTGGCCACACATTATAGCTCAACGAAGTGGCTTATCACGTGGACATTTATAGCTGCCAAATACCCTAAATGTGGAAGGAAAAACTGGAAGGACCAGGAGGAAGATCCACGCAACCATGAGGAGAACATCCAAACTCCAAATGTACAGCAGGTTTCAGGATCGAACCCACGACCTCCTGTATACCAGCCGAGGTAGTTAACATCTCGCCACCGTGGTGCCCCAGATATATACGTTATTAATATTAGTATGCGTGCATTTGCAGTCACTGTATGTGCGCACACCGCAATAAATGCTACAATGGACAGAATGGCAAACGAAGGTACCATCAGGATTCTTAGGCTTCAGTGCTGTTGCACAAGACTCGCATAGCCAGACAGAGACACATTCAGGATTCTTAGGGTTCTGTATAATTACTCTTTGTATAATTGGCTGACAGCCTTCATTGAGAAACAAGGAGGTGAGATGCCGATTGAAGGTAGCGGCGATCAACGAGAATTTGAGAGAATAGGCCGAAGCTGGTTTGAACGTGCAGCCGGAAGGTTGGAAAAATACCATTGAATAATGGAAAGCTCAGACATTTAAAGCTTTCGTGACTGCAGGGATTCATCTTCTTGGTTCTTTTGGTAAAGTCACGTAGAAGGGAAGTAATGAAATAATAAAAATAAAACATAATAAAATAATTCTCACGACGTTTCGGCCACAACGCAAGCAGCCGTCCTCAGGTGACGGCTGCTTGCGCTGTGGCCGAAACGTCGTGAGAATTATTTTATTATGTTTTATTTGTATTATTTTATTACTTCCCTTCTACGTGACTTTACCGAAAGAACCAAGAGGATGAAAGCTCAGACAGTGAATGTTTAGGGGAAGGTGGAAGAGGGGAAGGAGTAAGAGGATTAGACTGCGAGAAGTTGTCGATAAGGACATGAGAGCATGTGACGGCTGCTTATTATGATTCCGCTTGTTTGCCCAGGAAAGCCTCACAAGACCCTTTTTCAGGAGGGTCCTGCCAATATTTTCATTAGTTTCTTACAAGTTGGGGGTGATGTCGCCACCTGTAACCCCCAATTGAGTAATTTACAAGCAATTTGTCTTTGCATTGGGATGTTTGAGCAATTGCGGTTACATGGTATGTTTTTGTATCTATGGGAGGAATCCACAGAATTTGGAGAAAACTCATACAGATGAGGGGGGGGGGGAACGTACAAACTCCACGTAGAAAGGCTGTCTGACTCGGGAATCAAACCCAGGCTCCTTGCCATCAGGCACACGTATTACAGTTGTACAGCGCCTCTTTTAAAGATGAACCACCCTCGGTGCATGTTACCGTGGAGATGGGTGAAAGACTCTGTTGGACCCAGAAAGTGGGCCCCACCCGGCACAAGTCTCGCGTGGGAATCGACGCGGTTGACGTTAAGCGGTATTGGTAGCCGAGGGTTTGGGACGGGTTCGGCGCTGTCTTGTCGCAAGCTGCTCCTTAACGGCCTGCACGCTGGCGTACCTGCCCTACGAGGACCTGTGCCGCTGCTTCCGTGGTGAGTTGGTTACTCTGTTGATATGTGGTGTGCGAGTGTGTTGCGCACACGTGCATATATCCTGAAGCGCGTTTAACGTGAAAGCTTTGGTTATTTTTCGATTTAAAGCTTTCGTGACTGCAGGGATTCATCTTCTTGGTTCTTTCGGTAAAGTCTACGTGACTTTACCGAAAGAACCAAGAAGACTTTGGTTATTTTACGCGGGTATTATTTTCACGTGCCAATGCATCGCTAAATTTTTTATTGATAAAGACTGCTCACGATTATGTTTAATATCCACGCACGATGTTACGCTGGAACTTTTCTGAGCTTCAGGCAGCAAATTCAGAAATGGAATTCAAAAGTGGAGGCTAAACGACAAGAATTTTAGCATTAAAATTGCCAAGTGGCCTCACAAGAAAGTTAATATGGATCACCCCTGTCTATAATATTGGTCGCGAAAGTCTACGTGTTAAACTAACCATCCCTGTGTTAGTACATATTAGTACAAGTAACCCTATTTCCGTTTGATATGTCTGTAACCGAAGTATAATTGTGCTGTGGCCTAAACTTAATCTGCCCGAGCCGACTTGCGCAAACAGGGAATTTATGACTAAACGTTGCTTTACGTTTATGCACTATTTTAGATTTCTCATGTGACAGTTGATTTTGGGTGGCGACATGTTAACTACCTCGCCTGGTATACAGGAGGTCGTGGGTTCAATCCCTACCCTGACTCCTATATATTTGGCGTTTGCATGTTCTCCCCATGGTCGAGTGGATTTTTCTCCATGTCCTCCGGTTTTTCTCTCCACATTTAGAAACATACATTTAGAGTATTTGGTTGCCATAAATGTCCACGTGATAAGCCACTTGGTTGAGGTATCATTTGTGGCCAGGTCGCTTCTGAAAAAGAGCTTTATAGTTCAATGGTCGTTACCTGGTAAAATAAACGTTTTTTTCCGATTTATATTCGCTTCATTGCTGTACTTTTTCGATTTAAAGCTTTCGTGACTGCAGGGATTCATCTTCTTGGTTCTTTCGGTAAAGTCACGTAGAAGGTAAATAATAAAATAATAAAATAAAACATCAAATAATTATCACGACGTTTCGGCCACAACGCATGCAGCCGTCCTCAGACGCTGTCTTTCCGACAGACCTGTTCTTCACCTGAGGACGGCTGCTTGCGTTGTGGCCGAAACGTCGTGAGAATTATTTTATCATGTTTTATTTTTATTATTTTATTATTTCCCTTCTATGTGACTTTACCGAAAGAACCAAGAAGATGTACTTGTTTTTCTTTTATAATTTTCGTGACCATTGTGACTCTTGCAAATGAGACTCAGCCTGGTCTCACTTGAGTTTTCACCCGGTTAAACAACATCAACTTTAAGCGTGCCTTGCTGTATGCACGATGCTTAGGGCTAGACATCACTTCCGGGTGCTGCACCCTGATTGCAGAGCGCTGGTGCAGGCTGGGTAATTGGTAGGCATGTGACCATTCAATTACAAATACTCCCATCCCACCCTCTCCTCCATCTGGGGATTGACGATTTGTAGTTTCATTCACTCAGCTGCCCTTAACGTAACATTTGGATGACTCGGATTAAGCAGTTTTATCTTCGGGACTTCTCCTGCCAGTATACAGGAGGCTGTCTTTGGTGTAGGCCAATCAATTTTAAGAAGAGTGCATATAAATTTGCATACAGTAAAACCTTGGCTGGCGAGCATAATTCGTTTCGGAAACGTGTTTGTAATCCAAAGCACTCGTGTATCAGTTGTGATCACGTGACGCTCGGCAGACAAAGCGTATACACGTACTACTCGTATTGCAAGTCCTCGCTCGTTTATCAAATTAATATTTATTTAAAAAATTTGCTCGGCTTGCAAAACACTCGCAGACCAAGTTACTCGCAATCCAAGGTTTTACTGTGTTTGTATGTTTTACCACAAGTATGTGTGATTAATACAGACTTGATGCCTTGTAACAGGTGTCTATTTGGTGTTTTAACATCTTAACACCTGTGATTTTGCCGGAAGGGGAAAAGCCTTTTCTTCTTTAACCATTTCGATGACATTTGCGTGAATACTCGATAATTGTTACTCGTGCACGCGATTTGACGCTTGCATAGCGAGCCCGGGATACGTGTAAAATAAGAATTGCCGGATCGATGTGTGCCGAGCGATTGATGCGTGTGTGGTTGCCAGAGGTGTGGACTCGAGTCATGTGACTTGGACTCGAGTCAGACTCGAGTCATGAATTTGATGACTTCAGACTCGACTTGGACTTGCATAACAATGACTTTGTCCCACCCCTGGTGGTTGCAGTCTGGTGAGCCATGGTTAATTGAGTGCTACCGCCCTGATGCACATGTTTCTCCTGCAGCGGACACACTGCTCGTCATCAAGGCCCCGGTGGGAACGGAGCTTGAGGTGCCCTTCCCGGACAATGTAGGTGCCTGTTCAAAAAGATATTTTTCCTGTCATAGTTTTTAAGTGCCGCATTGAGATGAGTGCGGTGTTGGCTGATACGAAAAACGACAGAGGCCAATATTTGAGACGCATTTTTAGGCCAAAAAATGCTAATTTATACACAATGGATATTTTATATGCTGAATAACTATGAGTAATCTTCTTGGTTCTTTCGGTAAAGTCACGTAGAAGGAAAATGATAAAATAATAAAAATAAAACAATAAAATAAAAATAAAACATAATAAAATAATGTTTTATTTTTATTATTTTATCATTTTTCTTCTACGTGACTTTACCGAAAGAACCAAGAAGATGAATCCCTGCAGTCACGAAAGCTTTAAATCGAAACTATGAATAAGCCAACTAATCATAGATATCCATTGTAATTTATATGACTGCATTCACCCCTGATTAACTCACAGTGACAACATCACATTTACCCCTGTATTTAAAACCGAAACAGGCGGATTTCTCCACAATTTTTGGCTGTCGCCTGGTGAGACTGGTTGTAATTACCGGCGAAACGTCATACTCGAATTGTAAATGTTGTGGGTTTACTCCCGAACACACCGGTTTGCCGAGTTGGTAACTAATTGTCATGTTTTGTTTACACGACAAACCTTATTAATTAGCTGTGTCGGGTGGTGGCGGGTTTAACGACACATTAATATTTACGCGATCTAACCTAAAAACCCTCTCGTTGACCTTGCTTTGTGTTAAAAATTATGAATTGCTTCTGCGTGTATGCATGCGTGTGTATATTTGTGCGGGTGTGTACGCACCTACGTTCCTGTGCTCAGGTCTCCGGAGGCCAATCCAAGTTCCAGATCCACCTGCGCAGCCAGTCGGGCCCCATCAACGTCCTGCTGGTGAACAAGGACAGCGGCGGCAGCTCCTCGCCCGTCGTGGTCCCCGTGCCGCCTCCGCCTTGCTCCCCGCCGGCGGGGGAGGCACCGGCACGCGCCGCCACTCCGATCACCGACGGCGCGTTCGCGGCGGCCCTGCAGGCACGCTGCGCCGCCACGAGCCACGCGGAAGATGCCGCGCTGTCCATCGCGACGAGCGCTGTCCCGTCCGGTGCGACGAACGCCGGCGACGACGGCGGCGGCGTCGACGACGCAAGGCCACGGCTGCCGACAACGCCGACTGCGCCGTCTGCCGGGGAGGCGGACGAGGGCGGCGGCAAAGGCGGAAAGAACGGCAGGGAGGGGAAGGAGGAGGAGAAAGAGAGAGGAGGGCGGAGGAAGAGCGGCTCGGAGTGGCGGCGTGGGAGCCCGGGGCGGAGGGAAGGGCTGCGCTCGGGGGACCGGGGCCCAGCGGGGGCCGTAGCCGCGGCGGCAGAGCCGAGCGGATGCGCCGCCGCCAAACTGGACCTGGGCTCAGGTGTGCGCAATGTCACCTGCACGCTCGCTCACAACTTTTCACGCCCTCCATACTCGCATACTGGCAAACAAGGAAACTTGTATGCGAAGCGCTTGGGGGAAAGGGAGGGGGATGACGAAATTAGAGGCTGAGCAGGGGTCATCAATAACTCGTCAGTGTTCTTGGTTCTTTCGGTAAAGTCACGTAGAAGGGAAATAATAAAATAATAAAAATAAAACATAATAAAAGAATTCTCACGATGTTTCGGCCACAATGCAAGCAGCCGTCCTCAGGTGAAGAACAGGTCTGTCGGGAAGACAGCGTCTGAATGAAACACCCCAGGCTTGGAGCGTATATATATATGTTGTATTTTTATTATTTTATTATTTCCCTTCTACGTGACTTTACCGAAAGAACCAAGAAGATGAATCCCTGCAGTCACGAAAGCTTTAAATCGAAATTTAACTCGTCAGTGGTCATGGATGATCAGAGTAGTGCGTACGTATGTTGAACTTCTCTCGCACCGTACGTAGACAACCGTGCCAATCGGAGATGCGGGGGAAGGACGACAAACTAAAACACAAAGAGCAGTTCTACAGAAATGAGTTTTCAATCTAGATTTAAAAGTGCATGTCTGCAGTGGCTTCATAATATTGGAAGGAAGGGCGTTCCATTTGGCCACAGAACGGACAGTAGATGTGAGTTGAGAAGAGGCACAAAATAGAGGTTCAAGGAGAAAGAAATCCGAGCACCCGACCGCATGCGGGAATTGACCTTTATTGGTATTGGAACTGAGCTACATATGACCCATGAGCTCTGACTCCATCTGTGGGATGAGTTGGTGACACCGTAGAGAGGAAATTGCCGTGACCGGTGCGTGCTTGTTGGGGAGCGGCGGCACGGTGGTTAGCGCACGCTGCTACGAACCCAATGATGCGGGTTCGTTTCCCACTCAGAGCCAACGTCGCTGATGAAATGCTAAACTGGTCATGTGCGCTCCCTTAAATCGACACGGCCTTTAATGAGTAACCGGTGCATTGTGTGAACATCGGCATTGGGGAGGGACATAGGTGGCCGGCGTGATGTCGGCTTTCGTAGGATGCTCTCTCGCAGCACTTGCCCCAACCATCTGCTCAAGGCTACGTGGAGATCTTTGTCTCATGTTCTTAGGTTTTTTCGGTAAAGTCACGTAGGTAAAAAATTTACAATTAATAAAAGTAAAATAAAAGAAAAATCACGACGTTTCGGAGGCAACACAAGCTTCCGTCTTCAGGTGGAACCGTCACAGCACGACAGCTGTATCAAGTGAGAGAAATTCCAAGAAAACAGTCCTTGTGTGAAAGCGATGGGTATTACCTTGTTATCTCGGCATCTCTTTAGGAAGGGCCAGCGTCTCGAGAAGCTGTGACTTCTTGTCTCGTCGTCTGTTTACCTACGTGACTTTACCGAAAAAACCTACGAATATGAATCCTTGCAGTCACGAAAGCTTCAAATCTAGGATCTTTGTCTCTTTGTTGTGTCTGCGCTGGACAGACGGCGGGGTGCCAGGCGCGAGCTCTATGCCGGTGGCAGTGCCACAGGCGGCGGGGGGCCCTCTCGACGCGCCCCCACCTCACACATTCCAGCCCATTAAACCAGAGGGCTCCCAAGGTACAAAGAAACGCAGGCCCGCCCGCCCGCCTCGTGCTCTTCGTGTGTCACGCCGCTTCTGAGGGTCCCTGCTCTTGTTGTGTAGATAATGTGCGCGCTGCACATTAGCAACAATTGCCACAGAGCCAATTGGTACCTCTACCAATTCAATCGCTGTGTGTGGTGTGTGTGTGTCGTCGGTAGTTTCACGTTTATTTTGTTTGTGTAAGAGTGACTGGGGGGCGTGCGTCTGCTGGTAGGTGGGCAATGATTGCTGCTGTGTGCATCATCCCAAATGAGTAACTTGTGGTGGGATTTTCGGAGGTGGAAAATTTCAAGTGCGGTTAAATCACCATAACGGACCCGCACTGCACGGGTGAGGCCCTCGTTCAGCGGTGGGATTGTAGGAAAGGGCTGTGCACGAGGTCGCAACCGGGTACCCGATACCCGTACCCTACCCGATACCCGGCTACCTGTACCCGGCCGGGTAAGGGTACCCGTTTGCGACCCTGGTGCGGCTGGGTTACGGGTAGGCCGTGAGTCACTGGTGAGTAACCGTTTGTCACTCATTTCCCAACGTCTTGTCTCTTCTCACAATTCAAGTTCCTAAAATCAACCCACCCGCGCCTGCAACATGGCTTCATCCCAGAGGTCGCAATCAGGTACCCGATACCCGTACCCTACCCGTACCCGGCCAGGTACGGGTACGGGTACGGCCGGGTACGGCTACCCGTTTGCGACCCTGGTGCGGCCGGGTACGGGTAAGGAATCAAAACCCGTTTGCGACCTCTGGCTGTGCATGGTCCTCACGAGCACCGTTCGACGAACTGCGAGTGTGAGTCACCATTGATTGATGGCGGGTCACACTCGCAGCTTGCGCTGCCACTGCTGCCACTGCTGCTGCTCCTCCAAGGGCTGGGCGTAGGTGCTCCGTGCATCTTTATGAACGGCCAAGTGGCTGAGCCCTCTCTGGTGGTTTGTCCGTTGCTGGTGGACAGGAGACGCGGTCTGGCCAAGCGCCAGCAAGGGAAGTGGTCAGGCTCGACGGTTGGCAAAAGCCGTTCTGGGGTTGGGGAGGGGGGTTCGGGAGAAGCTTTTCTTTAACGTGCGTCCAAAAACTATAAATTACAAAACTATTTTAAGTTTACAAGGTAAGGCCCACTGAGCTAATATAGCTCTTTCAGAAGCGAATTGGCCGCAGATGATAGCTCGGCGAAGTGGCTTATTATCACGTGGACATTTATAGCGGTAGCCAAATACTCCTAAACGCGTGCTGTGGATTATAAATGGGAAGGGGGAAAATAGAGGACCAGGAGAAAAATGCACTTGACCACAGGGAGAGAGACATACAAACTCCATATATACAGGCTTCAGGGTCAGGATCGAACCCATGAACTCCTGCATACCAGGCGAGGTCGTTAACATCTCGCCACTGCAGCGCCTCATACGTGCGCTCATTCATTCCTTCAAGCAAGTTTCTTGACAGTACTTGTAATGAGTGAAATAAGGACATTGACGAATCGGGCAGAGCAAAAACTGAAAGTTACACAGAGAAGCATGGAAGGTTGCATGCTTGAAATTACACTTGGAGACAAATAGGAACCTATAGATTTGAGAACAGTGGCACGTCACAGACACCATATTGACCGTTACGAAAATGTAGTGGGCTTGTACAGGACCCGTCGCTAGGAGTAGAGACGATGGCCGGTAGTCAAGACTAAATGTTTTGGTGGCAGCCAAAGGAGGGATCGCACCCGAGAGGGCGTCCAACGGAGAGATGGAGCAATGAAAATCCGCTCGTGTGCAGGAGCTTGATGGTTGAACCGTTGCATCGCGGCGCTGCGAGAGGTCGCGACGACTTTGGGGGAGGCCTTCATCCAACAGTGGGTTGATTGTGGCTGACGATGGCGACGATTAAATGTGTAAATGCTGTAAAGTGTTAACTTTGCCGATGAGGTGTAGTGTGATGGCCTAAGATACAGGGCTGTCTAGGAAGAGTATCGGCCTGTTTAAAAGTGCAGTGATGGCCAAACGCCTAACCTCTTCAATGCCTTTTCCGCCCTGCAGGGTTCGAGGACATGTTTGAGTTTGCGAAAGGTACGAGCACACCCCGCACACGCTCGCTACGTACCCCGCACACGCTCGCTACGTACCCCGCACACGCTCACGATCTACCCCACACACACGTCCAAGGCGATGCCTTTAACGGCCTTAGCTGAGCCTTTCCGGCACGGATCAGACGGTCTAGTTTGGCACCGCTTTAGCGCTAGGTTTGAGATGTGGGCCCGGCGTGTGGCGCGTTTGCCGCTCGTTGCAGAGGCTGCCCTGGTCAATACTGCGGTGTGTCTTTACCGTAAAACACTCCGCGCCGGCTGCTTCACAGTGGACGTTAGAGAGCCCATGACGTCATCATAAAACTTGTAAGCCATTGTGTGGTGGCGTCACGGTCCAAATTTGCCAAATTTAGACAAATTACCTGCAAATAACTCGATTGGGATGACACCTAGCAATGATTGCGCCCCTCATCCTTCCTCTACTGGTAGACTAATGCCTGAAACTTGGCAAGACCACTTTCTCGTGTTGAGTTGCCTTGTACCCACAGGGACAGCTGCCGCTGGGGGGGGGGGTGCCCTTTGCAATGTGTTGAGTTGAGATGCAATGAAAGTCGCTCATCACGCGTAAAGTGCCCTAAGACGCCGCAGCATGAAGGAGGGCGGCTCGGCAAAGTCAAATCATAGTCGTTCGTTGTCATCGTTGATATTGTGGGTGCTCGCTGGCCAATTGCCGACGGGAAATTGTCACCGATTCGTGCCTCCCCTCTGCTCCGCAGACGTCGTGGACTCGGAGCTACTGAAGGAGCTGATGTCTGTAGACAGTAAGTGTCCTATCGTGCGTGGTCCGGTGGGGAGCGGTGGCGCAGTGGTTAGCGCACTCTGCTATGAACTCGGCAACCCGAGTTCGTTTCCCCGCTCGCGGCCAAAGTTGGTGACGAATATCTGAACCAGTCCTGGGCCTCCCCTCGGTTGGCTCTGGCTTAAATCGGCATCTGCTGCAGTGTGTGAGATCCAACATTGGGGGGGAGACGGAGGTGGGAATTGATATTCACCCAATGCCGATAAATGGCACTGCAAAATACTCATTTGGGTTTACACCGGGCAACGTCGCCTTCTCCCGCGAAAACTTGGCAAGACCGCTCCTGAAAGAGCGAGTCTTTATTGACGACAATCCGGACTCGAATTTGGGAACCACCAGTGTCGGATAGACTGCGAGAGACGCCGGGGGGGGGGGGGGGGGGCACACAAGGGCCTGCGCGCGCGCGTGTGTGCATCGTAACCAAAAAGCATTCCACGTATCTTCTTGGTTCTTTCGGTAAAGTCACGTAAAGAACCAAGAAGATGAATCCCTGCAGTCACGAAAGCTTTAAACCATTCCACGTATGTTGGTTAACTGTGAATAAACCAACTGGTAATTGGTACTGCATATTCTCAGATTGACATAACCAATTGTAATTTATCTGAGTATATTTAGTCCCTCCTCTGGTCTTCACACCTGATATGCTCACAGTAATGGCATCACCTTGACTCTATTGAAGACCGAGACAGGAAGACTTGTTCACAATTTCTGTAAAATCGCCCGATGAAGCTGGCTGTAATTGGCAGCAGAACGTCGAACTAATCGAATTGTAAATGTTGTGCATTTAGTCTGCAACACACCGGCGTGCTGTAGTAGTATACTACACTATACACTGCACTCTACATTACACACTACACTACATACTAATCGACAATACACGACACTGCTATACACTAAACTATACACTACTATACACGACATTATACACTACACTATACACTACACTACATACTACACGACTATACACGACACTGCTGTACACTACACTATACACTAAACTATACACGACACTATATTCTACATTATACACTACACTATACACTACACTATACACTACGCACTACTATACACTACACAATAGACTACACACTAATGTACACCACTAGTGTACACTGCACTATACACTAAACTATACACTACTATACACTACACACTAATATACACTACACGACTGTACACTACACTATACACTACACTACACACTAATATAAACCACTACTGTACACTACACTATACACTACACTATACACTGCTATACACTATACTAGTAACTAATTGGCACTTTTGTTTACGTGACAAACCCAGACACTTTGGCCGTGTCAGGTGGTGGTGGGTGAACCACGCATTTATATTTACCGCGCTCTTACGCAAAATCCTTTGCTGTGGATGATATTGGTCGCGAAAGCCGACTGCGCCGTGTTAAACTGCATCCTCTGCATTGCAGCCTTCTCCCCACTGCTGCGGCTCTCCCCGCCGCCCGGCGACCAGGACTATTACTTCAACCTGGACGAGAGCGAAGGCCTGTGCGACCTCTTCGACATCCCGCTGCTCGACCTATGAGGAGGTCGTCCCCCGCTCACTCGCTCGCTCGCTCGCTCGCTCGTCTGCTACTTGTCCCCTCACCTCCTGGCCACGGGGCCCTCTGCCCACATTCATTCCCAACCATCGGCTCGCCCTCACGTTGGCGCGGGTGACGATTCGTCATCGGCACGGGTGACGATAGCCATTCGACGTGTTGTCGTGATTCGGTGGGGTGGGGGGCCGCGATTGGATTGAAGAATCGATAATTTTTTAGTCTTTGTACCGTCTCGCCTCATTTGTTATTGTCTCCCTCAATGTCTCCCGTCAACCTCATTTTTATTGTCTGTCACTTGTATTGCACCCGTCACTTCTGCCATCTCGTTTGTACTGTGTCTGAATGTACGATCTGCTCACTTTCAACTCGACGCCCCCCGCGTGGCGTGAGTGTACAACAGAGACGACTCCGATCATGGAAGCGATCACCTTGTTACGCGCCTACCCTCGCATTCACCCACCCCCTCCACCCACAACAACCCCCCCCCCCTCCACACTACACCCGAGTCGGAGCAAGCCTAAAACTCCCTTCTCTTGAGCTGCACTGCCCGTAACGAGCTGCGGCCCAAGGCCTGGCCACAGCCGCTTAATTTTAAGCACTTAACTGTTTTTAGACCTTCACCTAATGATTTCATAGCAATGACGAGTGGTTCTTTTTAGTTTAACGAGATGGTGCCAGATGCCTCTCCGACCCGTTGGAATGTTCAGTGTCCTGCCCATGTGTCTGTTGTTCTCTGTCCTGCCTTTTGGTACATTCACTGTCCTGGCCATGGCCTGTATGTTCACTGTCCTGCCCATGCGTGTGTGTGTGTGTTCACTCTCCTGCCCGCTTGTATATTCACTGCCCTGCCCGTGTGTGTGTGTGCTCACCGTCTTTCCCTTGTTGGCAGAGTAGGGGGCACACGTGATGCATCTGCTATTCATCTGAGTCAGTCAACTCATGACACCTAGATGTGTCCCATGACCTTCCGCCAGGCAGCCCCAAATGTCACCTAGCCTGGCACAGGCACCGTGGTGATGTCACCACTACTTGGTGGTGAATGGCAGTTGCCCATGTGTGTATATTCAAGCCTGCCCGGGTGTGTGTGTTTACTGTTCTGCCCATGCGTGTATATTCACTCTTCTGCCCATGTGTGTATATTCAGGCCTGCCCGTGTGTGTATATTCAGGCCTGCCCGTGTGTGTTGACTGTCCCTCTCGCATTGTTTTATACCAGACTCTCGTAATTAGCTCGGGACCGCACCCCGCGTAGACGGTCCCATTTTGTATATTAATACGGTAACAGTAAAGGCATATTTTTCTACTTTAAAATAAGCAGCGCGCGTATGTGTGTCTGTGTTGTGTGTTTATAACAAATGGCGAGGGCCGCAGTGTCCCTGTGTGTGTGTGCGTGTGTTGTCACTGCTGCGGTTTTATCATTGTAATCGGAGCGTCGCTTTGGCCGTGTGCCCCACCGCACGGTGGTGAGGGGGCAGTGGGGGGGCAGCTTTTTGGCCGTGGGAGATGAGAACCCTGCAGGACGGTCACGAAGCTGCTCCGAGTCTTCTTCTCGTAAAAGAAGAGGCCTTGCGGCGAAGCACGGGACGTGGCTCCGGACACTTATTGGGAAGACCGAGGCCGTCGCTGCTCGTGCCACACCCTGATGACCGCCACGTGTGGCGCTGACCGACCAACCACCGCCCCTGCCGCTGCCTTTAGATTTCACAGAGCAAGGAATGTACTGACCCTGGCCACACGGGGGTGCCAAGGTTGGCTCGTGAGACTTGTCGAGTGGCCTACGGCACTGGCCAGACCTGCCGCTGTCACCCGCCCGCTCTTGTGTGGGCCGGCGAGGATCAGGTGGTGGATGACCAATTGGCGGTGCCACTTTTTTTTTTAAGTGGTCGGAGGCTGCCACTGTTATGGGGGCGTGGGGGGGGAGCTAAGGTTACGGCATTTATTTCCCCAGGGGTATTAAAAGCCAGTTTTTTTGTGAGGCGTCGTAGCCGAGTGGCACGGATCACTGTAGCAAAGGATGCAAATTCGAATGCCCAAATTGTGCAGCATTGCTCCTTAAAGTTACAACAACTTCAAATGTTGTAATTGATACTCGCTAATGTTTATCGAGTAATAATTATAGCAAACAAAAATATTTTAATTTAAAAAATCCAACGTTGTGACGGGAATTGCATGTTCTTCCCTGCGGCGAGTGCTGCCCTCAGGTGGTTACCGCCTCTCCGAGAAATGCTAGGTTCAACACCAGTTTGGGATGCTCCGGTGTGGAGTGTAAAAGTCATCTCGAGTACGTATATTGCATTCTCGGTGCAACGTAGGTATTGCGTTAATACGTTTTATTTTGACTGCTGCGCAGGCCGCTCACTTACCCCGTGAGCATTTGCATTTTTAGTGGGGAGGGTTCAAGTCTGTTGGTTACCAATTGCAAAGGGGGGGGGGGGGGGGCATCGTTCCCCCTGCCCCCCTGCCCCCCAGCTCTTGCAATTGAGCTCCCTGATCTCTACAGAGTTCTTACCTGGTTAAAGGAAATTTACTTAACTAGTGGCACTGCCTATGGGTGGACCATCGCACCTGGTCACATTGAAGACGGTAGCGGCGATTAAGGGGTGTAACGATACCTTGAACCATCGATTCTCTAAGCTCGTGACGCATTTTATTATGATCACGCTCGTTTACTCAGGAAAGCATCGCCGAGTCCCAAAACTCCTAATCTGGAGGCTCCTCCCAAGATGTTTTGCATTTGCGGCCGACGATTGATATTTATATTGTAAACCTTAATTTTAATTTTCAAACGTGTGATATTTTTTTTAAATGTCCCACTGTCGGCGAAGCAGAGCCGGCGGGTAGTATATATTTTTTTTTATTGTGGTTCATGCTGCATTATTAATCGGGGCGGCCTCTGGATTCGAACCGTGTGAACCTCAGAAACAAGTGACGGAATGTCCTGCCGCTCGGCCAAGTGAATCTAATCGCCTAAGAATCGATGTTTTCAGCTTCGTACGTGCTGTGTGCGCTTTGAATTGAACCTTATTGCAGGATCCCGAGGTCCCATAAGCCCCCGGCTCTCACATAAACTGCGTTGCGACGTCATTTTATGTCTGTTGAAGGCGAACGATACGGTAATCTTTTCCTCTCGACGAGCTCTACACGATGCGCTAATCAACGTTTAAAAGTTTTGTTTCTTCTGCGCATTCGTCCTAGCTGCGCTTGGACGACATGGCAATAAATTAATTGCGATTTTGACTTCCGTTTATTCGGGATCCTGGAGTCCCGCCATAAGGTTCAATTGCCGTTTTGATGAATCGTTACATCCCCACTCTCCCAGTAATCATGGTGGGGAGGTGGAGGCAATGTGGAGAGAGCTTTCACGGCAGAGGATCCAACTGATGCTGGAAGGTGCCATGGAACACACCTGGCGAGCGCGCGCGCACACGCATGTCGTGTGTAGTGTAATGTCATGTGTGGTGTAATCATGTCGTGTGCGGTCACCACAGTCGTAAGTTTATCCAGAGTCGGGCACGAAGAGATGATGAAGATGTAGCCCGGTCTGGAGCCCCTGACGATGACCTTATTGGTGCATGGCTTCACCATCAGCCGACAGACCAAGGCGTGTCATGTCTGTGGATGCTATATTGTACACAATGTATGTGTGGCTCAAGGGGGTTTGTTTGTAAAGTCAGTAATAAAGCTTACTTTGATTAATTTTGCCTGCAGTCTGTTCGTTAGTGGGCACGTGACCGTTACTTAGAGTTGTGCCAAGAATGCGTGGAGGGTTTCACGTGAGAACATTTTTTTCAATCTGTATACATTAGAAAGTATAAGTAATGTGACCCAACCAGTCAACCTCACTTCGCCTCCCAGAAGAGCACGCCAATCAGATCTTTCACATATCTTGTGAGTTCGCACAATCCAGTCAGGATGGATTGTAGGCGGGTCAGTCTGAATGTTTTTTCAAGCCAGCGCGCGCTGATGTTTCCGTAAAGGGTACCCATATTTTACAGTCATAGAGACCAGGGTGTGATGATGGCGGAGACGATCCAGAGCTTCGTGTGGAGCGACGAGGCCAGGCAGCTTCCGCACAGCGTCGCGCAGCCAAATGAACGATAGCGCCACTCGACTGATATGAAGTGAGACCTCCGCTGTCAAACCGGGGCTGGTCATGAGCACACTTGCTCAGGGATGGGAACGCCGGTGAGACCCTACTACTACATGGCAAGCTCCAGCAGAGTCCCTCAACGCGTACACATTCCATTGTTAATGTTTTTTTACATCTGAGTGTATCGACTTTGTTCCTCTCTCTGTTTCTCCATGCTTCTTTGCACACTTTTCAGCGTTTCAATTTCCTATCGTCTGTGTCCGCGTGTCTTATCCAGGTAGCAGGTAATACGAACTTCATCGAACACCCTTACACCTTTACGTCTGTAATTGTAATAAAGTGTTCGTTTTCCGAGTGCTCTTATCATCCCTGGGCTTGCCTGTCAACATTTTGATCTCGGTCCTTCAACAAATACTCTGTAATATGCACAAACACACTGTTGTGTTTCAATTGCTCAATTGCATTGCTCCAACAGACATCTTCGTTTGTAACTTTCTGACCCCCACCCCGGACATCTGTGAAAAAAAGAGCTTAATAGCTCACCGGATTCCTCCAGTATATATGTGTAGTGGCATAGCGCTGGCTGCTGGCAGAAAAGGGGATCTGCGGCGTGCGGCAGTCCCGACGTTGGCCTCGGCAAGGTAAGGTAATCGGATAATTTGTATGGGATAAGGGTAAAAGGTAGGATAAAGGTAGGCTCGTTGCTTTTTACCTTACCTGCAAAAGGGTAAAAGGGAGAGTAGAGCGATTGTATTGTGGTAAGGTAAAAGGTAGGGTAAAGGTAGTCTTGTTTTTGTTTACCGTTCATCTTTTACCTTACCTTGCCGAGGGCTATACACGAGAGGGGGATCTCGGGGAAAGGTCACAGAAGGGGCACACCAGGAACCCGCTGGTTGGTTCCAGAAAGGGGTCGGGGGCGGAGTGAGGCCACGCTGACAGTATACTAGGGGCCCCTGTGGGGGCTCAACGGGACTGTCGTTGGAGTGGGGATCCTCGTCGTGTTGTTGAAGTCCATCGTCGCCATTCTCGTCGTCTTCAATATTCTTGTCGTCATCTTCGTCTCTACCATCTCGGGACGCCGCGAGTCAGACAGCCTACCAGCTGTCCTGGCTGAGGAGCGTCGCCGATAATAGACGGACTGATTATTAAGTGTGTTAATCCCGATGGTGCTCACTATGAGATCTCTTTTACCAGTGGCAAAATATAGTAGTAGGTTTTTACCCTTTTAAACTGGTACAAAACTGACACCTTTATTCAAGGCATCATGTTTGCAATAACCACAACACAAGTAGTCAAAAAAGCAAACAAAAAGATGCAACTCTGATAATGATAATAATATGCACTGTCCTTGAAGTTGATTGGTCCACACCCGAGACGGCTTTCTTTAGAGCCTAGTCCCCATTGGTGTTGGACCAGATGACACCAGAAGGCGTACAACTCAAACAGTGCAATATCAGAGTATTGAGAGCTCGGGGTAAGCATTTACACTGAGATCTCTTTTACCAGTGGCAAAATATGGGGCTCGTTAATAAAGAAGTGCCTCCAAGTCTAATCATCTCCGAGTTAGTTACTACATATGTATCAAAGATTCTGATTCTGAACTGCATCGGGGCCTCGATGCTGCTGCGTGGAGGAGCAGCGTCTGTTTAAAAACAAAAACTAAGGCCCACTGAGCTATATCACTTTTTACGAAAGCGACCTGGCCACAAATGATGGCCCAACTTATTGGCTTCTCGTGGGGACATTTATAGCGACCATATGCCCGAAAGGCATGTTTATCAGTGTGGAGGAAAAATACGGGAAGACCCGGAGAAAAATCCACGCGACCACGGGGAGAACATGCAAACTATACATAATCGGGCGTCGGGGTCGGAATTTAACCCCTGACCTGCATACCAGGCGAGGAAAATCACATTTTTCTTCTAGATTTGAAGCTTTCGTGACTGCAAGGATTCATATTCTTAGGTTTTTTCGGTAAAAAAAACCTAAGAATATCACATTTTTCTGTTGCGTGTAGTCACTTTAAGATGTTTCTTGTTCATGTTTTGTTGCGGTTGAACCCGAGTCAAGAGCCGCGTGGCTCACAGGGTTATACCCAATAAATGAAACTGAAATAAACTGAAAAACATCTCGTCACGTAATGCCTGTATTCAATAAATCGGAGATGCTTGGAAAACTGCTGTCACTTAGTAACTTTTGTGAGAGAAAATCTCCTTGTACGGCTGGCTTCTTTTCCCCGATATGCGTTGATCACTGAGTGTAATCTCACAAGCTGTCCGATGTCATCTGTTTGCTGGGCAGTGGTGCCTGCCTGTAATCCAAGTTTCAAGTTTCGTTTATTAGGTACGAGCTTGACTACCCGGCTTCGCCCGGGACTTGGATTCACCACGCCCGGCCACCTTTGTCTCCCCAGTGGCGATGTTCACGCACACCGCACCAGTTACTTGTTTAAGGCTGAGTCGACCTAGGGGAGGCCCAGGACCGGTTCAAATCGTCACCGGTTGTGGCCGTGAGCGGGAATCGAACTCGGGTCGCCGAGTTCGCAGCGTAGCGCTACCCACTATACTACAATGCGTTACGCTACCACGTGCGCGGGTCACGTGACAGATTTGACGTCACAACTCAGTTTCCGTGCAAAAAAATATGCATTATTGAGCTCCCCCCCCCCAAAAAAAAACACAAAAGTGTATTTTAATAATTTGTGCATGGTGTACAGTCTGGAAAGTACCCACATGGCAAATTTCAAGTTTGTTGCATGTCGGGAAGTACGCTAAACATTTTGAACAGACACACATTCACAACTTTGCCATTTATATATATGGAGATAGCCATGCGGCTCTTGAGTCGGGTGCAACCGCAACAAACAAAATATGAACAGAGAAACATCTTAAAGGGACGACGCGCAAAAGAAACATCCTGGATAAACCAGCAAATCATCCAGAAAAACCCCACCGTCTTCTTGGTTCTTTCGGTAAAGTCACGTAGAATGGAAATAAAAAAATAATAAAAATAAAACATAATAAAATAAGAGAATTATTTAATTCTCTAATTTTATTATGTTTTATTTTTATTATTTTATTATTTCCATTCTACGTGACGTTACCGAAAGAACCAAGGAGATGAATCCCTGCAGTCGCGAAAGCTTTAATTCGAAATTTAAACCCCACCGTATTACAAAAATCCCAGTGTGGAGGCAGCGGCAGCAGCAGCAGCGAGGGGTTAGTGGATCACCGCACGCACAGATGTTGTGAAACTCCCTTCGCGTTGGCGTCGAGGTGCCATAACCCTGCTTCGTCGGGAGATGGCAGCACAACAATTGTACGAATTGCCGTCTGTTTCCAT